CCAGGGAAAAGGCATTAATGACTATAAGCACTGTGCTGGTGACTGAGCAGTCAGGTTTTTTTTGTCTGTAACTGTACTCAGCATGTCTTGGCATGAAGATATCTAAAGATGCACAAAATGCTTCTTTCGAATCTTTTTTAATAGATATATATGCATATATAATGATATATCTGATGGGTCTAGTGAGTGGCATCCCTACCCATGGCAGGAGGGTTGGAACCAGATGACCTTTAAGGACCCTTCCAATCCAAACTATTCTGTGATTCTATCACATAAACACATTTTGTATTCAAGGTGTGATTTTTTTGCAAAGGATTAATGGGAAAAAAAAATCAATGACGGGTTCCCAGGCAAACTCTAAAAGAGAGGAATCTCTCTTTGCAAGCATTCCCTGTGGTTTCTGTTGGGTAGGATATCCTCAGCTTGGGACAATATGCTGTGCAGTGCTGCTGTGAACTGCTAACAACCATATTCCACAAAGACAGGCACATTTAAATGCTGGATCCAGTGGGTTTGGACAGACATAGAATCTGATCATGAAGGGAGCTGTGTGAACAAACATCAGCTGTCTGGAACCCCAGCTGGACACATGCAAAGCTGTTAAGAGCAGTGAGCTTGTAACTTATAAAAATCATCTTAGTATTTTATGGGAAAGAACACTATAAAAATACAAGATACTAATCTACACAGTGCTACCCCTGCAGGCATGTGATGGCAGAACAGTTTCTCTTGCACTTAGTGTTTTATAATGTTTTACTTCACCCACAGCCAACTGAAACAATTCCCACTGAGTTAATTCACCTTGGATTAGGTCCAGAAAGACCACTAACTTGTTGTGGGAACTGCAAGCCCAGCACATGGGGCCATAGAATAGAAGTGAACACTATGCAGGGCTTTCAAGAACTGGCTCTGCTGTGAAAGTATTGGCTCCCAAAGCAGTCACACATATTACAATTGCTTTCTGATAAAACATACACAGTGCACTAGACAGGAAAGGCAAGCACTAGAGAGCTTTGGTGTGCTTTTTATCTTCAGTGCCAGGCTTCTAATTCCAGCAGTAGCCTTGCCCTTGTCTGTTCTGGTGGACAAGTGGCACTCGGTTTCAGGAAGTCTACACTCCAATGGGAAATATCGACTGGTAACATCATTAGATAATTTAGAGGACAACACACGGCACCACAAAACCAAGACTCAGGTTAAAGACAGAAAAAAAACAGCAAAAGAGTAAAATCATAGTAGGTCACCTAGGTGATTTGTCTGGCCAAGGGGGAGCCCCCAGCATACAGAAGACCCTGATGTTTCACTTCTGGTAGGTGGGTCCAAGGCTGTCTCTTGCTGAAATACAAGCTGCCCAGCTGTATTCTGCTCCTAAAGAATTGTGTGGAATCAATGACCTAACCAGTCCTTTCCATCTAAGCTATGTAAGCCTTATGACAAGTTAAAGAGATTATAATAACAGAGCAATTGTTATTTCTGTGATCAAAGAAAACATCAGGGATGTTTAATTCATCATGCACAACAGCTTGGCTGGGATGACAGAAGATTAAATATCATATCAGTCAAAGATGATGTCTAGGAAAGAGAGAAGTACAACTTCTAAAGAGGTCTGAACCAAATCCAACATCAAAAGAAAGAGAAATTCCATCTTAAAAGCTGGAATATTACTTTAAAAATATCCTGTGGGTAATCTGAAGACCACATTTAACAGCTGTAAGTAGGTATGGACAGGAGCTCCTTTAAACATCAGCAGCTGACTTTGCCATGAGTTGCTTTTTCTTCCAAATGGAAGAAATGAAGAAGCCATTTAGATTAAAGATACATGATAAGGCTTAACTAGTTCAGGTGACTCCACCCTGCTTATTACTCTGAATCAAGATCACAGTAAACTCTATCCTATTTTTAGGACATTTCATTCGGAAGCTTCCAAAAACGCTTTGCAATGTAAATCAGAAAGAGTCAATGTAATGGAGTGACACAAAGCTGAAGCAGGAATTCATAGGATTTTTAGTCAAGAAATCACAAGATTAGCAGTCTTTACAGTACTGCTGATACTGCCTATAAGTTGGATAAACTCTCAGCATCATTTTAAAATGTCTGAATAGTTATGTTCTTACCTAGTAAACACACTCAATAGTGAAGTACGGTCCCGCTCTAGAAAGTTCAGAATAGCTAACACCTCCTATTCTGATTTAGTTATGAAAAATCAACCTTTCTGGAACTTGCTATTGCTCACAGAACTTCAGCAAAGTGAATCATATGTGCAGTGGGAAAGATGTCCCTCTTTTTTCCCTTATGTTATATCCTCCATAAGGCTTGTGAGAAATATTCCCTCTTGTAGGGACTTCCACAGAGACAAGAAGTTAAAAAAAAAACAAAAAAAAAACAACCCAAAACCAAACAACAAAGCAACACCCACCCCCACAACCTAATCTACAGAATTTGTTCAAAGGAGAGTTTTTGAAAGGGTATCATAAACAATTGTTCATAAAGGTATTGGAAAATCAGGTGTCAAGCTCCCATACACTATACGTGTACCTTGCTTAAAAGGAGTATGCTGAGCTTCATTACATGATTACTTTTAGCTCCTGAAAAAAAATGTTTCACAAACTCAACAGAGTTAAAAGTCTATTACTGATTTTATGTTACAGTAGGCAGAAAGTATCTACTGGCTTCATGAGACCTTCCACAAGATTTAAAGTAAGATAGTTTCTATCTTACTAACTACTGAGAAAGGCATCTTTCTGAATGAGATACTTTTTGCTATTTGAATAATGAACAAATTAATAAAGTTTCCCAGTTAGCTCAGCAATTCAAACTAATTTGGTGGCACAGCTGACATGCTTTGGACTACTTCACTGGAAGAAAATACGAAAAATTCCCAGAAGAAGTGGAGAGACAGAGAAAAGAAGCAGAGTAAAACATCACTGTGATGGACTGGCATGCACATTGCTGTATTGCACAGTGGAAGTTGTCAGAGAGACAGGCAGAAAAACAAAACAACACAAACCAGGAAACACCCTTCATGCCAAAGGGATGTTACAGGACTTTCAAGAGCCAAACCTGCATTGCCATGTCTTGCTGGTGTAGATAACACACCTACCCAAAACAGTTTATATGGCAACATTACTTTTGGACACAGTTAACATCTCACAGATCTCATACATCTGAGGGTGGCAAAAATGAGGGCAAGGCCAGTAATTTTTTTAAAAAGAACTACTTCAAAGAAGCATTTGCCATGATGGATGATCACCAGCAGTTCCACTCACAGAGCAGAATGACAATGTTATGCTGACCTCACAACTGGAGAACAAACCAAACAAACAAACAAACCAACCAAACAAATTCCAACCCCCCTACAAATTCAATAAAAAGCCTGTATGAGAATGCTGATCAGAGACTGAGGATGAAATACTGTCCTCACTGAAGCCCAGAGCAAGTATTAAGCCCTGATCTTTTAATCTCATCTGTCTGAGTAGCTATCTAAACCCATGTGCAACCAGAGATACACTGGGGTTATGAGATGAAACTCGCTGTCCTGCAATACAGTGGCTGGGTGAGGCAACTGCAGTGCTCACGTTTGGCTTTAAAATTCATAAGAAGAAGTCTCTGGACTGCAATTTGTAATCTTGATGCACACAGGGCTTGGGATAGAAATAGGACAGCCCTATGCCCAAGTTTCTGAGGGATGACAGGTTCTAATGCTGAAATCCTTTACACAAGCAAACATTTGCACATATCCTTGTGATTCCACTGCCATGAGTAAAGTTTTGTCTGAGAAGCCTTCCTCTGAATGCCTTGCAGTCCTGCTGAACTTCAGAGAATGCTGAGGGGATGCAAGAAGGCTTGAGACCTGAGCAAAACTCAGAGATGGGAAGCAGGGTATGTTGTGGAACAAGTCCCACAGTGTGGGAATGAGCTGTAGGGTGACTATTTATGGGGAGCTGATCCGCAGCACATTCCTAGATCAGCCTTGTGCCAGAGCCCTGCTCCACACTGAACCCCCTCCATCGGGCACAGTCCCTGCTGACCCCACATACAACAGAGCCAGGTTTACTACAACAAAGGGGTTCACGCACAATTTACACATTAAGGTTGTGTGGCAACCTCAGAGCAACCTTCCAGTCTCTGAAGGGGTCCACAGGGAAGCCAGAGAGGGAGTCTGCCAGGAACTGTAGTGACAGGGCAAGGAGTAATGGGTACAAACTGAAAGAGGGGAAATTTAGGTTGGCTGTCGGGAAGAAATTCTTTACTGTGTGGGCAGTGAGACACTGGCAGATGTTGCCCAAGAAGGCTGTGGATGCTTCAGCCCTGTTAGTGTTCAAGGCCAGGCTGGATAAGGCCTTGAACAGCCTGGTCTAGTGGGAGGAGTCCCTGCCCACAGCAGGGGGTTGGGACTGAACGATCTTCAAGGTCCCTTGCAATTCCTTAACATTCCATGACTCTACAATTTTGAATAAAACACCACCTTCTCCTTCTTTGATGCTTTTGAAACGACTCCTAAGTCGAAAGATTCGGGATTCCTGCCGCTGACTCCAGAAACAAGGATCTCTGTGTGTGTGTGTGTATGTGTGTGTGTGCAGGAGCTGCTCGGCTGCGCGATTCACAAGAGGGGCCGTGACAACTGGGTGGCCCCCCCCCGCCCCCAGTTCACCCCCGGCCTGCCACCGGCCCCGAGGGCGGCTGTATCTCACCGCCACTCACCCAATATCCTTGTGACGCCCAGGGTGAGCTTGTCCAGGTAGGGCTTGATGCCGGCGGGGGGTTTGTCCTCCATCCTCCGCAGGGCCCGCCTGCCTCCGCCCAGCCCGGCAGCGACAAAGCCTTTTTATCCTTCCTGTCGCCCCGTAGCCGCGAGGTGCGCTGGGAGTGGTAGTTTCGCCGGGCTGCGCCGCTCTCGTCCTGTTGCGCTGGAAGGACTACGACTCCCAGCACACCCCGCGCACCCGCAGGGGCAGCCAATGGGCGGCGAGCGGCGGGGGGGCGGTGGAGGCGCGCGGGGAGTGGCGGCTGTTTCAAGATGGCGGCGGCGGCCGCCGGTGAGGGTGGAGGTCCTCGCTGGAGCCGTGGCCGTGGCCGTATCCTTCCCTGCGGCTCGGGGCGAGGAGACGGCGGCGGGGAGGGCCCTCGGGGGTGTGCGGGGAGGCCTGTCGGGGGTTTTGGCGTGGAGCCGGCGCGGGGCTGTGGGACGAGTGAGGTTCTGTGGCCGCGACACCAGAGGTGTGGGGGCACCGAGTGTTGTGGGGGCTCGGCCTGGGGAGAAGGAGTGGGCGTGTGGCTGTGTTCGGGGGGCGCGCGGGATCGATAGGCAGAAGTGGCCTGCCAGAGGAGGGAGGGTTGTGTGACTGGGCTGTGGAGTCCTGGAGGAAGCAAATATATAGAAATGGGGAAACTGCGTTTAGCTCATGGAAACTTGTAAAAGAATCGATAGAGAGAATGGGGTGCTTTAGCCTGGAGAAGGGGAGGCTCAGGGGTGAACTTACCCCTGACAGGAGGGTAGACCCTGATCGGGGTCGGTAAAAAGTGAGGGGACCAGAGTACACAGCCTTAACCTGCGCCAGGGGAGATTTAAGCTGGACATTAGGAGGAATTTCTTCACAGAAAAGGGTAATTAGACATTGGAATGGGCTGCCCGGGGAAGTGGTGGAGTCACCGTCCCTGGAGGTGTTTAAGGAAAGATTGGACGTGGCACTCAGGCTGTGGTCTGGTTGACATGGTGGGTGATTGTTCACGGGTTGGAGTTGCTGATCTCAGAGGTCTTTTCCAACCTAATGAATTCTGAGATTCTTTGAAACTGAGGCTGAACAGGCAGCAAGGAACAGATGTGTCTTTTGTGAGTGGCACCTAAGCTTGATTACAAGCATAAAATTTAGGGTGACCCTGTGTGGGACACAGAGGGCTCTGTCTGTGAGGGACAAGTGTGAAGCTGTGGTGGCTTCATCTGCAGAGGACTGGCAGGCTCCTGTTATGGGAGACTGTGTGGAGCTAGACTTGTAGATGGAGTGGGTGGTGGTTGTGGTGTTGGGGAGTCAGCCTGTAAAAGCCTGGCTAGAGAGAGAGGCGCTTGTGTGGTTCGTAGAATCAGGAGCTGATGTTTGGGCTCCTGGGGCTGAGGTAGAGGCTCAGCAAGGTGAAGACATTGGGGTGGAGCTGACAGCCTGGCCTGGTGGAAATTTAGGACCTGACAATTTAGCTCCAGGTATGAGGGATTTGAGGGATTGCTATTACTCATATTGAAAGTGGGATTTCAGCATCAGCTGGAAGACTGGAAAGAAGAGTCCGTGTGTGTGCTCTTTTATTTATGTTTGACTGCACACCCGCTAGACAGCGCTGTTTAAGTGAAATGGGCCAACCATCCCAGGGACTGTTTGGGAAGCATATTGTTATGATTTCCCATCTGTGTAAAGTAAAATAGATTGCCTACAAATTTGTCTGTGCCGTGATGGTGTGCAGGTTGGTGGTCACATATCAGATTTGTTGCCACACTGTCACTGCTGTGCTCATTTGATGCAGTTACACTGACAGTGTATTTTTATTAACTAACTACTGATGTGACAGGTTGTTTCCTGTGACCAAATACGGTTTCTTGAGCCCATCATCAGACTCATGTGTTGTGATATTCCAAGGAATGAATTTTTTCCTGAGAGTCATTTCCATTTTATGTTTTTTGGCGAGTAGGTAGTGTTGCCTCTGATCCTGGAAAAGTTTAAATACTTAGAAATGCACATTGTACAATTTAAAATAATAACAGTGGATGCTTTAAAAAAAATAGGAAGGGGGTGGGGGATTTGGTACATTGGGTAGTGTTGGTTTAATAGGTTTGTAAAATTGACCTTCTGCCCATAACTGCTGAATAGATTCAGCATAGCAAGGCAGATGCACTGTTGCTTGTGTAGGTGAGCCCTGCAGCATCATAGTGTGTAGTTCCTCCAGTGCCTGTCTGTGCTGTTGCATTGAACTTTAGCTGTGGTGGTACAAGGTTTATAGCAGTATACTTTCCTTGTCAGTCTTGAGGGGCATGTGGCAGTGGATTAATGCTAAAAGGTTGATGCTGGTCCTGTTCCCAGTCTTGCACGCCGAGGCAAGGACGTTGGACCTGTTTACGAATTGGCTCCTGAGTCACTGCGATTTTTGGTCCAACCGATTGAGGTAACCTGCTCCAACTTGGGGTTATTCTAATGCACTGGGCTGCAAACCTTCACAGGAGAGTGATCCTGGTAGCTGGGGGTAGTAACAGCAATATCTTTGACTAATTTTTGCTTCCTGCTACGAGGCATCTATCCACAGCAGCTGCCAATACCAGCTCTAAAAGCGTAATGTTGTTTAGGCAAATCTTTTTATTTCCTATAGCCGAGTGTTTACACACAGATGAACCATATGTCCGTTGAGTAAGCAATTGCCTGTGCTGAAGTTGTTTCCTGTAGTTGTGTGAGCTGAAGACATGCTCCTCAGTGCCCTGCAGTTTGCTGTCCTTGTGGACACAGCTGTTTGGGCTGGGCTTTGATCCAGGCTCGGACTTTTGATCTGCCTTAGTGCTTTTTGAAAAGAGGGCACACACAGTGCTTTTCTCTCAGAGTTTGTTCAGGTTCCTCACCTGGTTCGTGCTGTGAGCTCTCAGTGTGTTCTGGCAGCTAGGAGAGAGCAGGCTGCAGCTTACAGGTGAGAACAGAAGTGCTCTCAGTGTTTGTAGAGAGAGGTGGCTTTGACAGCAGTACTCAGCAAATGTATTTTCAAACTGGTATGAGACTGATGAGTGATAATTGTTTATGAGTGATAAAGGGCATCAACAAGATCATAAGGGAGTGTGTGATCAAGCCCTTCCAGTGTGTCCAGTACCAGTTCTGTGACGGACAGTGGGTGTTGATTGAAGTTGCTGTCCACAGGGGGAAGCTCCTTCACCGTTCCTAGTTTTCTCCACTGTGTAATAATCTACTAAATTAAGCACCATCTCAGAATCAAATTTTAGTGAAGTCAAGAGTTAGTACATGTTGATTGAAATATTTTCATAACTTGACTTTATTGTATGAAGGCAACTGCAAAGCCTTTATCTGCATTTATCTGTAAACAGTACAGAAATTAGGTAATTGATTTAATTGCCCAGCTGCAGAAGGTTGAGGAAAGTAAAGGGGTATAGACAAAAGATAGTGGGGCAGAACTTTGTGCCTCCTGCTTTTGTTTTTCACTTTCGTATTGCCCTGGTTTCATCTGGGATACAGCTAATTTTCCATCTTGTACCTGGTACAGTGCTGTGTTTTGTATTTAGTACAAGAATAATGCTGACTACGCACTGATGTTTGAGATGTTGCTCAGCAGTGCTTACCCTGAAACATGGACTTCAGTGTCCCGTGCTCTGGCAATGACCAGCTGCACAAGAAGCTGGGAGGGAGCATGGCCAGGAGAGCTGACCTGAACTGGCCAAAGGGATATTCCATACCATGGAGCATCATGCCCAGTACATAAACTGAGGGAGTTGGCTGGGAGAGGCTGATCACTGCTGGGGAACAGGCTGGGCATTGGTCAGTAGGTGGTGAGCAACTGTACTGTGCATCCGTTGTTTCTTTTGGGTTTTATTCCTCTCTCCTTTACATTACAAATAGTATTATTTGTATTAATATCCTCTCCTGTTTTATTTTGTTTCAGTTAAACTTTTCTTATCTCCACCCACGAGCTTTACCTTTTATCTCTGCTTTTCCTCCCCTCTGAGAGGGGGCAGGGAGGGGGACAGGGACTGAGGGAGCAGCTACGTGGTACTGAGTTGCTGGCTGGGGTTAACCCCCACCAAGTGTGTTAGTTACTTACATGGGAATAACAATCATTATGTTCAGCTAAACAAAACTCCTGCTTTAAAGAAGGCAGTATGGTTTACACCCTTCCCTGAATTATACTGAGTTGTATTTTTAGGGGCTTCTGGGAGGCGAGGGATTCAAGTTCAGTGACTGCTGATATAGCACAAATAATGTGGTGCCCTGTTCTTTCTGATTTCTAAGTGTTTTCTGCAGTCAAGTAATTTAATAGTTAAAGCTCTGGGATATTTGAAAGTTCTTAAAACTTCTTAAAGAAAATTAGTCCTCAGGCTTTATCTGGTTTTTTTTAATCTGTTACTGATCATGTGAAGATCTGATGAGAATGACCAACTTCCTTGGAAACCTTTTGCATTTATCCTCCTTTATGTTTCTTTATGTATAAAAATGTACAAAATGTATTTCATTGCAATATTAATATATACACTCTTCCAGAATTTGTCTCTCCTACGCATAAAGAGGTTCCTTATACAACAATAACCTGTTTAAATTTAAATAAATATTATTACTTCATTATCTTAGTAATTACATTTGTGAGGCTGGCCGCTGGGATCTTTTGGAAGGTGACCTCTAAGATAATCTTTAAGGCTGAAAGTTAATGCACAGTGAAGGAGTAATGATTTTGTTCTAGAAATCTCTGTGATGGTGGTTCTTTTCTAATCGAGTTTTCCTTGCTTTTCTTGCACCCAGTGTTTGTTACCACTTTGTTTTCTTTTCAAAAGTCTTTTAAAATTAAGAGCCCAAATACTTATTTTTGCAGTTCTGTTTAAAGAGACAAACTTGCTCTCTTTTTATTACCTTTAACAAAGCCACATGCAGTTTCTGATGAAGAAGAGCCAATGGTACCTGTTTCAGGTATGACATTCTAATAGATGGAAACAAAGTTGTTTTTTTTTCCCTGATAAAATTTGCAATGTCTTTTCAGGTACGTGGTTTGTGTATTTAAGTGTGTAAGGTAGAGAGTCATCACAGGTTGTAATGGGACATATAGGATTACAGCAGAGGATTTATGCTCTGCTGCTTAGATAAGCATACTGTATAAAATGAATAGCTTCAGGGGAGCTGTTTCTGTTGCAGGTACAGCATAGTTTTATCCAATTTATAAGCTAAGCTGAATTTTTAATGTGGTCTCCAAAGAATATTGAAGCATTAGAGGTATTGAGGTCTTTTGTAAATTTTGAAGATATCACTTCAGATGAAGATTCATTATGTAAAGCAAAAGTAATTTTTTTGTTTTTTTATTAGTTCTTTTGACCTTGATTTACTGAATGCAAGCTTGCATACATCGCTGGGGAAAAGATGAGTGTTCTTAGTTCCCCTTCAGAATTCTCTTATTGTTTTCAAACACAGCTCTTACAGTGACACCAGGTCCTGAAAACATATCTGGGCATGATTAACTCTGGTAAAATTGTGTATATGTCATCCAGCAGTTATAAATTTTGAGGAGTCCTGCTCTCTAGTTTGAAGTAGCATGGTTACCCTCGAAAACTACTGGCCAAATAGCTCTGTTAAAAAACTGTGTGTGTTTTGTAACTAGCATAGTTCAAGCCAGGCGATGTCAGATGGTTACACTCTGTGCCCTGGAAAGAAGGCAGTGTTCCTAAATGATGTAAATGGACTCACTCTGGGAAATACTCTTCCACTTCTGTGAAAGAGAATTACAGGAACATTGTTTTCCTTTGTGTACGAGCATGGAGATGTTAAAGCTTATAATTTAGTTCTTTCACTGGGGTTTCTGGTACACTTCTGAAATTCATTACCCAAATAAGTGTATTCTGTCTGCTAGTATAAAATTAATGTTTTTTGTTCAAAACCTTTTTGCACTTCTGAACAGTCAAAACTCAAACCAGTATCAAGAAGGTACAGGCTTTAATCTGGCCCTGGGCAGTTTTAGTGTTAGTATCAGTGTGGGTACTTTATAATTGCAGCATCAGGATTTTCAGTGCTTTCATATTCTCACCGTTGGTAGTGGTGAACTAATTCTAATTGTGGCAGAAAGTTTTTTACAGATGATCTGTGGAGTGTGCACTGAAGTGTTGCCTTACTCGTATTCCTGGTCCTGAAAGGAACAATTAATCTGGGCAGTCAGTAGGTTGGCTGTATAACAGAAAAGTGGTATTTTATCGTATGAGTGGTACTTTTAGCAGCAGTACCGCTTGGTTCCTTTTTGTCTTTGAGTGTCAGAGGAGAAGCTCAATTTTATGCTTTTGCATCTTAAACAAACAGGGTTTTTTTGCACTGAACCTCCATCAGAAGATGTGCCTTTCAGAATTTACTTTGTTGCTCTTTGTGGCTGTGTGCACTTCAGTGCCATGCACCTCTTTTTCTGCTGATACATTAATCTTAATGAATTTTTGTGCAGAGTGAGAGGCTGGGGGGAACTGCAAACATATACCCAACACGCTCATTCTTTTCAGAAAGAGCTGCTAAGGCACAGATGCCTTTGTGGAACTCCTGTTGCACAAGGCAAGAGAAGGATCTCTTTTCACTTTGTAATCTGCGTGTTCTGCTTGTCTTTCATTTACAGGAGTGTCTACAAAAGGAAATTTAAAAACAAGCTGTTTGCCAAAATATCAGACAAGTCAAACTGAACTCAAGGTGCCTGTAGCTGTTGCTTCTGTTTCCATGGATCCGGATAGAAGTGTGGGAGATCTGACAGGGCAGCAGGTCAGTAAAGGCAAATTTTTATTGCTCTTAAGACTTAGTAGGAAAACGTCAGATTTTATATTTAGATTGAAAACTCTTACACAACGTTAGAATATTTTTATTTTTACAATCTGTTATACTTTTTGCCCACTTACATGGTGGCTTGCTGACAGAATTTATCACCTAAAGAAAACAAAGGCTGAATGTGCTAATTTACGTAATTTGTGTGTAACTGGAGCTATGTAAAAGAGATTATATATATTTCTATGTGTGTATTTGTACAGAGACAGCGAATGTAGTCTTGGATAGCACCTAGCCTGTATTTTACTGAGCAAACATGCCAGAAGTTGTGTTCAATCTACTCAGTTTCATTGCTGTAGTCATATCATTTAGAAACAAGACCTATAAAACTCTTTTTATAGACCTTTTCACTGTGGCTGCTCATGTTAGTAGGGTAAAATCCCTTTCTGTTTTTGATGTAGAAGTTCAAAATGCATGTGAGTAGCCAAAGTAGCTGTGTCCATTGACACTGTGTTTGGTTCTGCTTCAAATTGTGTGGTCTCCTCCTGTGAGAATAGGTGACACTTTTCCTACAGTTGCATTAGAAATTTCAAAGCAGTGGGGTTTTTTTTGGAAGGTTATTCTGTGTTGTGGTAGATACTGTGATATTCAGAAATCTGTTGAGAGATGCCATTTTTCTAGCATGGTTTGTATAGTGCAATGACTGTTTAAGTTATTTGAGTACTGTTAAGTCTCTTTCCTAGTATTCATCTGTAAATCACTAGGGTTTGGCATCCTTCCACTTACAGGCAGGATCTGAAACCTTGGACTGCTCTGCATCATTGTTGTATTATCATGCAGTTAGATCTTGTTCTCCATCTGGGCTAAGATGTCCTTCCCAGTCTTCTGTGCACTGGGTGGATGCTGTGCCTCACATGTATGTTCAAAACTCTGATGTGAAGACAGATCACTCAGTTCTCGTTGCTTTGACAGTGTCACTGCTTTTTGAATCCTTCAGCATGACACTGGTATTAATTTTTAGGGCCTTCCTGGACTTATCCCTTTCCATTTCTCTGTTTATCAGTACTTGCTTTTAGGAGGCTGGCATGTACCTCTGCTTTGCAAATGGTGCTGTTAAGTGACATGCAGATAAATTCCACAAATAGCCCCCATTATGCAGAGTCTTTATGTAGAAGCATCTCTTCATAAGTATCTACAAGCCTGCTGCCTCATAGATGCCTTCAATGTGTCACATTAAAATCTGTTTTGTTGAATGGTGTGTTGATTGCATTACTTGTTGTTTAGAGAGTTTTTACTCCTTTTTTTTTTTTTTTTGAAAGCCGTTGCGGTATAAATGGATTTTTGTGTGTTTTTTTTTATATAATGCCTGATACATGAAATCTTAATTGGTGACTCGTGCTTTTATGATATTGACAATTAAATGCGTTCAAAACTTTGTTTCTTCTCTGTCTTTTTTAACCTTCTGTTTTTCTCTTACCTTGCCAAATCCTCATGGAAACTTTGTACTCTGAAGATAAGCTCTGAATTACTTGAAACAAATAGAACAAATGTGTCTCACTTGTTATGGAAGAAAAACTCCTTTTGTGTGGAGTTTTCATCACCAGCACAACTCATTTTCTGCCAGATGTTGTGTGCATGTCTAGGGAGAGCTGATGGCTTTACTTTAACAAAGAATCATAAAATGGTTTAAGTTGGAGGGGACCCTAAAGATTATCTAGTGCAACCCCTTCTGCCATGGACAGCGATACCTTCCACTAGTCCAGGCTGCTCAGAGCCCTATCCAGCCTGGCCTGGACATAATCCTGAGCAATGTGGAGAAGGCTGGAGTAGATGAGCTACCATGGTCCCTTCCAACCTTAACCATCCTGTGATTCCGTGTGATTTTGTCAGGCAGATTGTCACCTTCCGAGGTGTGGAGAGTATCTTACAAATACCGAGTTACAAAACTGCCTTCTGTCCTGAACTGTGAAGAAAGGACAGAAATCTGGGAAGAGGAGACAATACAGTCTTGGCCTCTACCTCCTTTTTCATCTTGTTTTGATGGTTGAGCTGTTGCTGTGCATGATGCCACAGCTTCTTTCTGACATGTGTTATGGTACAAGTCTGCCTCTGAGAATTTGTACTGTGCTACCTGTGCACAAATGTTAGTCTGACAGTATGCACATTGGTTTGGGTAATAGTTTGAGGTACTGTCTGTTAAAATCTCCTTCACTCCTTCCTGTCTCTCTTTTTGAGTGAAAATTGTCCTGTAACTTTTTCTTAAAGAAGTTCCATCGTCTGGCTACTGAAAAAAAAAAAAAAAGTCAGACATTTTTAGACTGGAAAGTGAAATTCCTTCAAAGGTACTGTAGTCGAATTCAGTTAAGTTAAAGACATTGTCTCTTCATTTGTATGACTGTAAGCAGCATATTTTTAGGAAGGAAACTGAAATTAAATGTCCCCTTGAAAGGTGCTAAAATTTGCCTTGTGAGACTCTTTCCCCCTACCTGGGGAAAATACACTGAAGTCAAAATAAGAGTGTACTGAAGGGTCAGGTGGGTAACCATGAGTCCTCTTTTAGTAGTGGACATCGTTCTTTAATTGTTTTAAGCTACTGTTTAAGAAGCAATTAGCTGAGAGTGAAAGGGGTCACTTCCTCTGGGGTGTGTGTAGATCAGCTGCTGTTCCTGCTAATGAGAGGGGAGAAGCCCAGTGTTAGCTGTGTAGGCTTTTTGTGCTCTATTGTGTTAACTTGGCCAAACTGCGGGGCATTCGGCTGCATTCTTTTATCTCAAGTTAAGCCGGGGAGGTTTGTAATATTTGTAGGTTTGTAAAAGTCTGAACTGAAATAAATCAGATTGAGTGGAGATACTGAAACTTGTCAAAACCTTGGGCAGAATAGCATAGCCTTTATTGCCGCGTTTATCTTGGGATTCGCATCTCGTGCCTTCCGCGAGCACTGCAGAACCGCGTCCCCCGATCACAGCAATTTTTGATAAATAAAACCAATTTAGAACCTTTTCCTGCTCGGAAGCATCCCGAGGTAGGGAATGTGTTGCCCTCAGCGGTGCGCGGGCAGCAGTGCAGGCCCTCTGGTGGGCACTGGTAGCAAGAGCAGCGGTTCTCTGTGTGTTGAAGGAGTGCATTAAAGGCCTGAAGTGATGGGGTCTGTTACAGGCCTGTTCTGACGGGTATGAACTGCGGTGGTAGCAAATAAGCCATTAAGACCAAACAGTAGCGATGTGTGAAAGGGTCTGGACTTTCCTGTGTATTAGAAAAATGAAATAAGGACTTACTGTCTACTAACAATACTTTGCTGTTTCGTATGCTTTGCTCATAAACTCTGAGGCAGGATATATTTTTCTTACTTTCTACTCTCTGTGATAATAAAGTTTGGACTTGGATTTGGATATCACTGCAGTGGATTTCCAAGTCATGAGAACCTACTTCCCTTTATCTACTGTGAATCAATGAATAGTGCACATCTTAAAACTTTACCCAGCATGTTTAGTATAGAAGCTAGCAGCTTGCGTTTGAATTAAAAGACTCTTAAAGTAATTCTCCACAATTTGGTAATTTGTTTTGCTGAAATGTACTTACGTTTTTAAAAAAGACGAATTTTATTTCCAGTTAGAATTGATCTGCTTTCAGCTTGTAATTATTACGTCTTGAAATGCTTTTAATATCTTATGAAATATTTGTTTTCTTTTAAACGGTACTTTCTAAAATGTTACTTTAAATTTTCAGGTCACTAATGAAGGAGGAATGAAGAGTGCTTCTTTAAAGGATTTGTGTCCTGAGGACAAGAGACGCATTGCAAACTTAATTAAAGAACTTGCCAGGTAAGAAGAAGCATCACCTGAAAATGCATTATGTTTAAAAGGAGTCATTCCTCTAATTAACATCAAGCAGTGTAAAACTGCATTATGATACTGAATATTTGCATAAGGTAATTTTTCTTGCTGCAAGAGATATGAACAATGAAGCAGGCTGATTGGTTTTTCCTTGCTTTGTGACCCCTAAATGTATATTTAAAACAAAAGCCGAAGTTTAGTGGCCAGCAGTAGTTCATCCATATAAACCTAATCACAAGTCTAGGATTTTGTTTGTTGCATGTATCACGTGCTTTAAATAAAAACATGCTGCTTTTGCAAATGACAAACTTTGTTGCTATGAAACTTTGTAGTGCTTGATATTTGGCAGGGGGTAAGCTTTTATATGGGATGCCATGTTAAAGGTGGATTGCTGGTCTTAATGGCTGAAACATGTTGATCAATATTTGCCTGTGTAACTTTTACTCGTCTAGCCAAACTTTTGCTTTGATTAATTTCTTCAGGTGCTACGTATTCTTTGAAAGGAGAGGCTCAAGTAGTGCAAATTTCTCAGCTTTAGCAAAAGCTTTTTTTGGTTTCATTCTAGTGCTGGTTACATTCACAAAGGTAAAAGATGGGTTGAATTTGTGTGAGGACATTTTAGTCCTTCTCTCTGTCCCTAACAACTCGGAATATCTGGAAATCCACTTCTTACATGGTGGCTGTAAGAATGAGGAGGACCACGTGGGCCTTTGTCAGTCTTTGGCACGACATCAGGGGGGGAAGTATCGTGAGATGCTCTCAGGTCCTTTGGGCTAAAAGTTAGTGTCCACATGTAGAATTTTTAAAGGCAAATTTTTTTTAACAGAATGCAGGTTCTCTGATATTAATGAAATACTTTTTGCCATAGATTTCGCATGCCTGTGCAGTAATTGGCAAGCATTACTGTCCCTTTTCTTTTTATATAGGAAAATTTGGACAGAGAAATTAAGTTACTTGCTCAAGGTCATGCAATAACTCTTTGGTGCAGCTAGGAATATTTTCTCTCCGATTATTCTCATCCAGTGGACCATTTTACCTGCTAATAATTTGTACTAATATAGGATTTCTTGCCATACAGTATTTCAGTAATTTCTGAAGTTCTTCATGCTTGCAACTCTATTTTATCATATCTTGTGTTAGAAAATGTATAGTTAAGACTGTCATAAAGAGTAGATTGCTGAGAAGCCTGGTTCCAAATTGTCAGATGTTGGAGCTATTTGGACACTGTTGCCACTGTTGATATATAGAGTTATATTCTAATATTAAAAAAAGCCTTTTATTACATTGTTCTTCATAATACAGTGCTCTCTAGTGAATAGTAGTACACTAATTCATTTGAGCATGGGATTCTTCTTAAATCTCAGATGCTGTGATTTTTCCCTTAGGACAGCTTGATATTTCTGCCTGACATTTCTTTGAAGAAAAATAGAAGGTGCAGCAACATTAATTTTGAAAAGTAAAATTAGTGGAACACTATTATTTTATACTTAGTTCTCTTTTATTTTTAAACCTAATCATATTTTTATTGGATGTAATTAAAAGTCCTTTGCAGAGTAATAGGGAAGTTGAACTTTAATTCAGCTCACCTCGTCACTTTTTTAAAACTCTCCATAATTTTCATCCTTAGTTGTACCATGATGGAGTGCTCTTACATGCTTTAGAACATTCTCTGCTATTTCAGAGAAGAAAAAGGACCAGCAGAAAGCCGAAAGTTTTCCAGGAAGACTGACCTGCAGTAAATACTTGGAATAATAAAGGTCTCACTTGACCAGGGCTATACCTCACTGTTCCTTGTTTTGCTACAATTTATGAATGAAAAAGATGGTAGTTGAGACTAATTCGTGCAGGTTTGACGCAGGAAGGTGGACAGAAATAGATTGGTCAGTAAGTGGCTGCATGAAGGCTGTTGTAAAGTGGTAAAATTCTGTCTGTGTGGAAACCAGTTGCAAAATATGATGAACTCTGGCTCGAATTTCAACCAGGTCTTGCTTGAGCAGTTCAGGCTAGTGGCCTTTTCCTGACTTCTGTGACTGCTCAAGGAGAACTCAAGTACTTTTCTTTCTCTTCCCAATTTTTACTTTTCTTCTTCCAACTCTTACTCCCATTGCACTTTTGAACACGGGGGGGGGTGTGTGCCACTGCATTCACTGAAGTGTCACACTTTGTGTTGGTATGAGTAAATTCTAATGCCAGATGCATTAATATATCCTTTTCTTTGAAAAAAAAGTCAGTTACTTGGCTGTAATGCTCTGCTGCTGGGGATTCCAGTGTCTGACATCACGTTAGCTGTTAGGGACTTTATGAAATTGGATTTTGAGACGGGGTCAAAGGAAACGACTCAGCTGTATCCTTTCTAATCCTCCTTTCTAGGCTAAGTAATCATAGTTTTTGATCTGTGCTGCCACCTGTAAATCTAACAATTACCTCGCCTTTCTTTGAATGTATGCAGTCTGTCTTCCCTTTTAAGGTGAAATGAGAGAGACAAACTGCTTCCAAAGTTTAAAATACTCAAATGTTGCAAATTTGAACTTTTTTATTTATTGTGTCAGCAGATTCTTTTCAAACTGTTTATAGAGGAGCTTCTGAGTAGAATGAGTCATGCCCATGAATGCCAAAATGCTTTGTGAGTAAATTCTTGAGTGTGATCAGCCTTTATTTTCAAAAGCAACCAGCATGGCACCTTCGTGTTTTCAGTAAGGTGCTGCTGTCATGATGGTGAAGGTGGCACAGTAAGAACAAATGTTTATCTCTGCCTATAAGCCAAGTCCTTTTAAAAAGGAGAAAGGAAGACTTTCTCTGAGCTTTTATTACAGCAGGCTACTCCTGAAGCAGTCATCAGCTTATGTAATGAAATGAGCAGTGACGTGGTGAAGACACTGAAAGTTCCTTACACTCCTTCTCTGTGCCACTGTCAGGACACATCAGCCTCTCTGAGAAGGAGCAGTGCAGGGTCTGCTGGGACGTGACCAGTTGACTGCTGAACATTAAGGATTTGCTAAACACCACACTGAGAATGATTATGAAGTGTTCTAGAGTGAAATAGTTCAGGTGTTATGCAGATTTTGAGAGCTCTCTCTGTCGTGGCCTTTGGCTGAATGGAGAGGATCTCAAATTTCTTTGCAGAGAGAGTGGATGTGTGTGTACTTGCAAGCATTCCCTTCACTCCTAGCTGATACAGGCCACACCTGTAGCCATACTTCTGTGACTTTGGGGCTCCTGGTATGACAGGTGTATCACAAATGCTTCTTCCCTGCCTGCACAGTTCACCCACCTTTACAGCTCACATATGCAATTTGCTTTAGAGTGAGCAGAGGCCTTGACTAAGTGACAGAGAATGGCTCGTGAAAGTTTAATTTTTGTTTTTAGCGGTGAAAATTGGTAACTAGCTACTTTATATTCTTTCTTTCTTCAGATAAGATAAACATGGAGAAAGCTGGCTCCCTGTTGTCTTTGTAAATAAATCTTCTGAAGCAATTTAGGTAGAAAGGAATCGTAATGCCCTTACTCACCCGTGGGAGGGAGTGATTGCCCTTTCCAAATGAGATACAAGACAGTTCTTGCTATCCTGTTAGTGTCTTTCTGGCTGAGATCACTGGCATACCCAGAATGACTTGCAACTGGCAGCTACCAAACAGCCTTCAGACATGCATTTGACCCTTACTGAGAAGATGCTTCCTCCTTCCCAAGACCTTGGATTCCTAAACCCTTTGTAGGATGCTAGCAGTCTGGGATGCCAGACTTTTCTACTGCCATTACTTTTATCTGGACTTTTTATCCTGATAAGATGAAATCGACCAACTAAAATTGAAATTTTCCAACAAAAGGTGAAAATGGGAATCAAAACAGAAGGTTAATTTGGTTACAGAACTGGAAACCATTACAAAGGAGGACAGTAAAACTATTGTAGCAGATATCTGCTGTTTAAGTATTTTTCTTCCAGGATCTTTGAAGGACAACTTGCCTGTGGAAACCCATATTACAAATCTGCAGTGTTTGGCCCCTCTTGGGTTGCCTTCTCTCCTGGGTTACACTACTTCATATTTAACCAAATTGTTACCTGGCTTTAACCTCAAGATCTTTTCTTTTTTCTTTTTTTTTTTTTTTTTTTGTATGCTACTTTAGGAGCAATATTGTGCTTCAGTTCTCCTAATTGGTCAGGCAGTGAGACTGCAAATGAGATATCCCTAAACTTGTCTGGCAAATGGCTTTGTGCTGATAGGAAAAGCATGCCCAGGATTATTGTATCACCAATCACACTTACCTTTTGTGCTTAAAAAGTCATTTGTAGCTATAAATTCATGCTGTGAGATCTAGTTTTGTATTTTGCAAGATGCATATCATAAAATTTATCCATTGTGCAGCAATTTCAATTAGGTTTTGGGACCATATTTTTTTTTGTTAATTTTTTTTTTTAATTTGTACAAACTGCCCATGATACTGAAGTAAAATGTATCAGATTTGTGAACATTGTTCTTGGACGAAAAATACTACCATTTTCTCTTCCTGGAGTGCTTATATTAAAAGTCACTTTATTGCTCAGTTGTGCCAGAGGCAGAATCAACTCTGGCATGGAAAGTTCTGTTTTTGCCTTTCTAGAGTATGTCTTTCAGTCGGGATAGCTGGTTTCATTCCATGATATCCATGTGTGCTGGACTTTGCATGATGCCCTTATCTTGGTCCTTGCTTGATTTTTGACTCCTGTAATGGACTTGCCTGTTTCAGATGCCACTTTTTGCTTGAAATTTAAAAACTTGTAGTTTTCAAAAATGGTCACCAAAATGTTTTCATCTTTGCTAGCTAGTTGGCAGACAAATACCAGGTTACTGTTTCCTAAAATTTAAGTGTTCCCAAAGAGCATAGGACTGATCAGTGAAGTTTCCAGTGTTTGTGTCTCTGCTTTTTGTTTGTTTTGTTTGTTTGTCTTCTGTCTTAATTTGCTGAGCCACAGTTCTTAATGCATTTCATATTTCTCTTGGTAAAAGCTCCTTTTTTTTTTTTTTTGAACATTTTTAAAACTCTTCATTTTTAAAGATTGTAAGTGCCTTCAGTCAGGAAGAGTTCTTTTGAGTTCTGTCCCTAGTGTAGTGTTGATGTGAGTATTATCACGGCTCTTTCTTGTGCGTGTCAGTTTTTCATTAAACAAATAAAACTTGAAGTGCTGTTGACTTGTGCAGTGCTTCAGAAATTCCACCTGGAGAGCATCAATCCTGCTTACTCAGTGGAATGAGTCAGTGTCACCAGTAAACTTGTTGATCAATTCCTTCTTTAGATCAGACAGAAACACTGGTATCAGCAGTGGACTTGGTAGCACACCACAGTAATTGGAACTGTTGAACTAGGAATTAATTTTAACCCTCAGGCTGATGTCCTAGGAGGGTTTTTTGTCAATATATCTGTGTTATGAGTTTTTCTTTTTTTACAGAGGCTCCTGTAAAATGAAATTAAAATACTGATTTAAGTGCATCTAGAATTATGTAAGCTTTGAATTTTACTATGAATTTATTATATTGAATTCATATAAGCTGTCAAATTTAAAACAAATCTTGAAACAAGATGGTGCATATCCTATGACACACGGTGGGGTCAATGTGAATTGTGTGCAACAAAATGCTTCAGACACTAAATGGGAGGATCAGTTCTGCTGATTTGTCATCTTTGTCATCAGTCCTCTATTTGATCCTGGAAACAAAAACAATGGAGCTGAACACCTGCATGTTGCCCAGTGGAGCAGCTGTGCCCTTTGTAGTTGTGGTGCCTTCATTCTTTCACTGCTCTTTTCTGACCCAAGGAGATGAATAGTGGGTGAAAATCCTTTTGAGGAGCCTTGTAATGTTTTTGTATGGCATCAGTGGAGTCCTTCCTCCTTCTGCTAGAAATCATCTGTTCTTTACTGCCAGAAGGAAAAGAAATAAGTATATAAAAAAATCTCACTGAGCTATTTATATGAAGTGACATAAATCCAGCATAATCTGATGACATTCTTGTATTCCTCTTCTCTAACTTCCTTTTGCCACCTCCTGTGAGTGACTGTCTTCTGTATCTTGACTGCCCTTTATGGGCTGTCTTCTGCTTTGTGATACATAAACACATACTGCCACATTTCTCCTAAGATCACTTACTGTTCTCAGTCATTTACTGCATAAGATATGTGGCACAATATATTCATGTGTCTGGGAGTGTGACAACTTGCTCTGATCTGTGTTAAATACAAACACAGCACGTGAATGTGATGCACACCGATACAAGCAGCAAATCACAGAATCCAGAGATGAGTAAAACCTGCTAGGTTTAGTCTGATTTCTCTAGTGCCCTGTTCTTTCTCACCTTATTTTCTTATGTTTGAGTTTAGTGTTATTGGGTGCTAGCATAGCCCAGTGTTTCAGTTGTCCTGAACCTTTTTCTCATGTAGCATCACTCCTGCAGTTAGTAAGCAAGCTTCCTTCCTTACAGTGTGTCCTGGAGATGATACTTGTTCTCTCTTTCCTTTCCAATTCCCTGCCCTTCTCCTTTACTTCTTGTCTTTTATCCACATGGTCATAGCTGTCTTCATTGTGTTTGTCTAAATTATTTTCTTTTTTTTTTATTTTTGCATCTTTCACTGATAATGTGAAGGAAGGTCATATATTCTGTAGTCACCTGATGGCTCTAGAACTCGTGGTTAGTTGCTAAAGCCTGGGTCTGCAGCCTGTGGCATGTGTGCTGTAGCTGTTACTGCATCAGGGGGCAAAGAAGTATGTGTGGTAGATATTTTTCAAAAGTTTGCCTGCTTAGCTAAAGAGCGTGTAGGTGTTGGTATTTATCCAGAGTCAATAAAGCTGGTTCCCTTTGCTGTTTTTTTAATGCTGTGTGCACAACCCTCACAAGTGTGTGAGTGGAGGGCCAGGGGCTTAGGAATGGGTTGAACTCATCACACCTTCCCAGGCCGAGGCCAGCGTTGTAAATGAGACCACGGGCATATGAATAGTGGAATGTTTTTACACTTAATCCATGTACTTTTTTCCTGTAATTTAGAAACTTTCCAATTAATAGTTTGATCCAAGCTTTATAACCAACCCAATTTAAAGAATTTGATTGTATGTTATCTGTTGTTTGTCTCCATCTAGGTTTGTAGAGGAAAAGTGTGAGCTTCAGTACTATTATTTCCAACTTCATGCAGTCCTCTCAAGCTGATATGGGAAGGGCTGTGGGTTGATCTTAGAGTTGAGGAATACTAGAGTTCACCCCAGGGGAGTGACCCAGTTGTGGTATTTATGGCTTTTCTTCTGGAAGATCAAAACAAACCTGTGTCCTCTTAAGGGAAACACCATGATGTCGAATGGATGTGTCAGTCCTTCGTTGGAGCTCTCTGTCAAGAATGGCAGTGACTCTGATAGGATGAGTGAAAGGCTTAGTCCAGGCATAGACATATATATATATATATATGTATATTTCATATCTTTTTTTATCCTCTTTCCTCTTTCTATATGATTGTTCCACTTAAAGGAAGTTAAAGTTGAAGTTTTTTAAAAGTTATACTGCTTTGGTCTCCTGTCACCTGTGCTGTGGCAGCTGTTTCATCATCATAAAAGACTGAACTTTAAGAGCCTTCAGCAACAGAAATTGCCTAAGTGCAGAGCAATAATATTTATTAGTCTAAGCTCATTACTTAATATTTTTGTGGAGCTTTTATAGAACCATGATTTCTAAGCCATGTTTTTTAGCATAGTTACAGGATGATCTGTGCATAATGATCTTCTTGCCTACGTGATACCAGAATAATTGTTTTTACAGCCTACTCTTGAGGTGCGGAATAAATGATCATTGTAAACCTTTCTCACATTGTCATCTTTTAATCTTGATCCAGTTATTTACACTGAGCAGCAAGATACAGGGGGCCATGCCCCAGACAGAAAGGAAAATTTACTCCTACAGCTTGATATTTTAAAATCCCCTGAACAGGACAAACTGTTTTGTTTGGAGAAAGCTAACAAGAAAAATGATTCTTTCCTGGACTTATGTTTGACCAGTAAATGTGAAAGAAGGATTACTGTATAGATTAAGAAATAGAAAAGTTTTCCAATTTCCTTCCTGTCTTGTCAGTTAAGCTCTCCCATTTGAGTTTTCTGTTTTCATGCCCTGGGCTTGCAAGGATCCCAGTGAGTCTTCATTATGGCTGCAGGGAATCAGGCTGCAAAAGCTAATTGTGGGTTCAGGTCTGTCCTTTGTTCTTCCGTGCTGCCCATTAATGTGCATGTACTCTACTGAGATTGGTGTCTTTGAAGAAATGATGTATTGCATAAAGTCATATGCATCCTCCCTTGTAATATAATAAAATAAACATTGTGAGGAACGAACCTGTTTAAGGGTGGAGAGGGTGTTATCCATTTACCTGCAAAGTGGTGAGGAATTGGAAGGCAGACACTATGGTTATGGGCGTATATTTTATTTTTCTCAAATTCTTTTCAGGGTAAGTGAAGAAAAAGAGGTGACAGAAGAACGGCTGAAAGCTGAACAGGAATCATTTGAGAAGAAGATCAGACAGCTAGAGGAACAGAATGAACTTATCATCAAGGAAAGGGAAGATATCCTTTAAAAATATGTGCAATGGCTCACTGAAATAAAAAGTGAACTACAGAGAAATAATTGTTCTAATTTATGGCATAGAATAAATCTGCATGTGCTGCCATTCAAAAGCAATCAGAGAGATGACTTGTCAGCATGTGACACTGGTTCATTTGAGCTTAAAACTGCAATCCAGCTGTTCCTATGATGTTGTTTTGCTATGAAATAGATATTTGTCAACTAAAAATGACAATAAGGAATTTATGCATTAAAATATGATTATAGATATTTTTTTTTTACTTAATTCTGTTAGGTGGCTTTAATTTAGGTCTAAAACTTGCATGGTATTCCATTTCTCTCAGTGTCCAGAGAAAGACAATCTACACTGAAGGCATATAAACTACATATATGTACTAGGGGGTTTAGCCAATTTTGACTTGTTTTGATGTAGGGTTGGTTTGTTTGTTTATAAACAGCTGATTCTTTTTTCTTGCGGACTGTCACTTGCATTTTTTTATGCTCCATATGCTTAGTCCCAATCTTGGAATATCACGTGCAAAGTCAGTATCATTGCAGGAACTGCAGTTTTCCTTTGGTGTGATGTTACAGACCTTTACAAAATTCTCTTCTTCATTTCTCTTCCAAATCTCTGCTGTCAATGCTTTGTTGTTTAATTTCTCAGAGATCTGATGGTTGACTATAGTGGGGTGTGGAAGAGATGGTGCTGCAACTACAACAGCAGCAAATAGTGTGTGGTTCATCAGGAGCTGTATTTCCAATAGGCAAGATAATAATGATTGCTGTTTTTAGGAAGCATGATGCAGCCTGTATACAGTACTGTTTTCAGTCCTGAGTTATGCCTTGTTCAAGATAAAAATGACAGAAGTTGAGGAGAAGGGCTGCTTGAGATGATGGGGGGCCTGGAGGAGCTATTTCCTGAGCAGAAGCTGAAGTGTGTCTGTATATGCTTTTGAATAGTGACTGGCCATGTAGAATTAGGGTGGAATGGTGGTGGGGTGAATAGGGGAGAGACAATGCTGAGGCAAAAATGGGCTATTCAAGGTATGAGCCAGTGTTGAAGCAGAAATAAACGGACATAAACAATCCACAAACTTAAACATGACGTTGGAGGAAGGTTCTGGAAAGTTCAAGCAATCCTAGTTCACTCTTTATCCCTGGGAGGCTTAACAAAAAAAGCAGTTTCTTTTTGATGGAACTTGCTTGCCTTACAAAAGGCACTCAGTGATGTGTGGTCTCTGCCAGCAGGGGATTGCCCTTGGTGACCCAGAAGATCCCTTCTGTCACAGTGGCACTTAAATTGTTAGAGTTTTGCCTGTTTGTACTAAATAATATACACATCAACAAACTTAGCTGGCGAAGAACAGTTACTGGAAGATATTAAATCTGATGTATTCAAGAGCCATTAGTTGTGGCTACAACTCTACTACATTAATTTCACTAAATCAGTGTTTTGTTGTGTATTACATCTTGTGTATCCAGTCAGCTCGTGAGTGTGGGTGGGATGCATATTCCTGATTAATTTTTTTAAAATTTATCCACATAAAGCTTTCACTAATTTATGTAAGGTTTATTTGGCTACCGGGAAGTAGACATTTTTACCTGTTTTTTTGTTTTGTGGGCTTTATTTCGTTCTTGTTTTTTTTTTTTCCCTTTGCTAGAAATAGATTGCGCAGGCATGAATATTTTTCCGGAAGTCTGGTGGACATGGCAGGAGGTTAATGCATGCAATTTTACACTTCATAAAACTTTGTAAAACCTGGAAATATAAAACAAGGTTATAATTTAAAACAATATCATTTTAACTGCTGCAATACTTGCCTATCATACATGAATGATTCAAGATTTTCAACGTAACTCTGATCAGTTAATTTTTTAAAGCTTGTTGCAGGGACAAGAAATAGTAGAAATGACTTGCTGAGTTTGAATACAGATTATGGCCATTTCAAGTACAGCAACTTGAAATTCTTCAAGGTTTTCTGGATTGTGGAGTTCACTTGCAAATAAGATGTCAGGGATATAAAACCATAAGAAAACGTCTGCAAGCTATCCCAGTATTTAAAAATTATCCTGTGGTAATAAATTGGTTCTTCTGATATAACTGCAGATATCCAGTGAAGTGTAATTCCAGCTTGGTAAAGGTTTAATTCATTTAGCATGGGCAGTCTGTTTTTTTTTCTGGCAACATGTATTTTGTTGATTTTTTTTTTTTTCTTATTGAGATTCTTGCAGATATTGTTTGGTGCTTGAAACTCCTACTTTGAAGCAAATCTGTCTTTATTTTGCTGTCGTTGATTATTTTTTCCCCCCAAGAAGCTGTGAGGACCCCTCTGTTAGAACTCATTGCTGATGAACTATTACAGAAGCTTTGGGAGTGGGGAAATGGGTGGTATGCAGTGAACTCACCGCAAAACTTTGAGTAACTTAGCAGTATTTGAAACCCAGTATCTGCCTGCAGCCTAAGCTCACATTTGCTTTGGAATTGGTCAGTGTCATCTGGGTAGGGAACAGCAGCTAAAATTTCATGCAAATTTAAAAGTCGGTTCTATCCTTCCATTGCAGTTGACACTTTAAAAAATTGAGTAGTTATTACCAGGGCGTTCCACTAGTGGGGGACAACCCTGATGAGCACGCTGTGAACCACAAATAGGCCAGCCTACTCTTAGCATTGCCAAGTACTTACTATCACAGAATTAAGGAAATTAGGGATTTCAAGTAGTTGCCCGGTCTACAACTTTTTCCTAAAGCAGTATTGTTAGACCTGTCATATTATAATTTGGACAAAAGTAGGTATTTTGGCTTGGTTTTTCTCAAGGCATTTAACACTTGAAACTGTCTTCTTTCAAAAGAAGCTTGATCTAAAGTGTTTCAAACAATTCCAAAACCAAAACAGGATCAAAACTTTATTTTGCTTGTAATAAACTCCTGTAAGCCTTTTTTTCTGGAAAGTTCTAGTGCTGTAGTTCTTAGGAGATGTGATGCCTAGTGGTGTTAATGTGCGTGTGCTGTGATGACATCTCTTGCTGTTATTAAAATTTGCCCAGTTAAGCTGAACTGGAAGATCCAATAACAGGTGCCCCTGTTCTTTTGATGCCCTCCACAATGAAAGCATCTTACAGCTGTGAAGATGAGAAAGTGGTGGGAAAAAATCGTTTTCTGAAAGCGAAGATTAAGTAAGAGGTAGAGGGAAAAATGTGAGAGTGTGTATTGGGAAAGTGAGATCTAGAACCTGGCTGTAAAGAAAGACTTGAAAAAGGAGGTTAGTCTGGAAATGGCTGATGTGAAAGCAGTGAAAGCCTGTGAGTGATGAGTTCAGAAGTGTTTGGGATAAGCAGTCAGGGTTAAGGAAGAGCCAGGATGGCGGCAGTTGGCCTAGGATCAGGCAGATGATTGTGAGACAGCTGGTGGAGGCAGGGATGTGTCTGTTCTGTGTATTCCAGCACTCTCCAAACTTTGAAGCAAAATTTGAGGCGAAGCTCATGTGAGAAGGGTGTTACCTCCCTCTGTGTCTTCCTCAACATCCGCTCTTGGTATTTGTCTTCTGGATACACACTGGGTGACTAAACTGCTTCTAGTGGCCATCTAAATTCTGGCATTGATTTTGGAGTGTGTGACTTGCAACTTCCTTTTTCTTATTTGTTTCATTTGCATTTTCACGATAAAGGATGAGGAGTGTGCAGCACACTCAGACAACTTGTGCTGCCTGTTTTTCCAGCTCTGCCAGGAGCTGTTAATAGAAAAGCTGCTGGCTTTCCTTCCCCCCCAACATATTTTCATGCACCTATTATTAATTTAGGTCCTAAATATGATTTAATTTAACAATCAGGAAAATATCTTTTGTAAGATGCCCCAGTACTGTCATGATAGATGTCTTAGGAAAAAAAGTATAATAATGAGATTATTAAAAAACAAATACTATTGTTATTTCAGAGCCCAAAGAAATAAGGTTGTGGTCTTTATCTTTTTATCACCATTGGAGATTTTTTTCATATAAATTTGATGATGTTGCATAAATGAAGAAGAAGAAACAATCTTAACATGTCTGTAAAGATTTATTCACTGGGTAGAGGAAACTTTAAAAAAAATTTGAAAAATTGGTTGTTGAATTCTAAGCTCTGCTTAAATTATCATTATGTAGACAAAGGATAGGCAAGTAAAGAGAAGAAGAGATTCTGTTTATTACTAACTTCTTTTTGTAAATTTGAATTTATCAGTCCTACTAAACTGCTGTTTTTGTGCATATTTAGAATGTAGCTGGGTTAGTTAAGCTTTTTGTTGGAATTATTTCTGACTGAACACAGACTTACAGAATGGTTTGGGCTGGAAGGGCCTTTAAAGACCATCTAGATCCAACGCCCCTGGCAAGGGACACCTCCCAGTAGACCAGGTTGCTGAAGACCAAGCCAAGTTCATATGACAAATCCCATGTGATTTACTTGGTTAGTCTTAAAATTGATCACAGACTCTGTTTACACATGTCCTTAATATTATAGAACTACTTAATTAGTTGATTTTGCATGCAGTTAATGTGAATATTAATTTAACTAAAACAGTTCATTTGCTGATATTGTTAGTGAGACATAGAATATTAATTTGCCGAAAGAATAATGAGCTTTATAAGCATTATCTAGAGACTTTAATAAAATGCTTTTAGTTTTTTACCATAGTACTGTTCATTACATTAGTCTTGCACACATAAATTAGGGTACTTACATATTTTCTCCTTTTCCTATCTTACTGTGTTAATGGAGAATTAGTAGTATTTTTCAGAAGAAAAATAGTTGCTGGCTTTACTTAATGCAAAGAACAAAGTGATAGAAAAACAGGTATCAGAGTGCAGAATTCACTTGCTTGTTCTGTCATACCTTTCCTCTGTAATGCTTAATTTGCTTTTCTGAAAACGCGGAGAGAAACACGCGCTTCTGCTTCCTTTCCTTTTTTTAATCTGACCCATCAGGTTGTCATCACAAGTGAAGAAACAAAAAGAGTCTTGCACAAGGAG